AAAGCCCTGGGTCTCTTGGGACTCCTCCATTTTCCTCGTTACGCACCTATAGATCGCCCGACGGCCGTTTTTCATTCAGCAGCGCAACACTTGATACTGGAATGCCTGCCGGTCCACGCCACAATGGCCCGAACCCTATGGTTCCGGTGATGATGCAAAGCTTCGACACAATTTTACAAAATTTAATGGAGCCAAACCCTCGTGGGTACAGGGGATTCGGAGAGGACCCCTTCCATCCCCAATCATCTACCTCTCCCGACTGGCTCGAGGACGACCACCTCACAGGCCATCACCCAGGCCTATTTCCCCGCAATGCAGATGCGGCGCAACCTAGTAACCGCAACCCGATGGATATAAATGAGTACGCAATGGCTCTATCTCTAGTGGTTGTTCGCAGACTAATTAGGATCTAGGATCATGGATGCCATTCGTGCTGACATTGGCGTACAAACTACACAACGCCCACGTGGAGCTCGTGGCCTGGGAAACCCACATGCTCTTTCGATATTGTCTGCCATTCTCAACATGGGTCGAAACGGGGATGCAGTATATTCGCAAGAGGAGCTCGACCGAGTCATCACACAACTGATTGAGACTAATGGAGGGTCCAGCACCGCGGCACCCCCAGCATCAGATGCTGCCGTCCAAGCTTTACCAAAGAAGAAGGTTAATGAAGAGATGATGGGATCTGACGGGAAAGCAGTGTGCTCAATTTGCATGGATAACGTTGAACTCGGCTTGGAAGTCACTGTGTTGCCATGCACGCACTGGTTTCATTTTAACTGCATCCATGCATGGCTGACCCAACATGACACTTGCCCACATTGCCGGCGAAGCATCAATACAAACGTAGCGTAAGTCTATGCGAGTGGTATGCACAAACTGAGAACCTTCAGCTGACGGCATATTCCACAGAGGCGGGGATGGCACCTGCGAGAATCCGGTAGTGATCCAGGATAGTCCTAACCAATCGAGATCCCAGCGACGTCACAGTTCTACACGCACTGCGCGCAGCGGTCGATCCTCGTTATCTTCATTGCAAACCCGACTTTCCCCACGAATTTCACCGCGCCGGTCCCCTACGCCAGAGGGGGGCAATCTAGCAACCGACGGTCCAGCCGAGGTGAGGGTGGCAGTGGAGGGGGTTCACCAATTGGTTCACGAACCGATTCGGAAGCAGCGCATGAGGATAATCATATCAACTATGATTTGCACGCGGTGGGCCTTTTTTCCCCCTTGATTTTCGGAAAGTTTTTCACACCATGCTTCATTTGTCAGTTTTAGCGGTTCGGCTGGTTCGATTGCTTTTTCTTTCCTGCGATTTTTCTATTCCCCCATACCCCTTTTCCTGGTGACTTTCACACCGTGCGACGGGGAATTGAAACCAGCCTAGTCTTTTGCGAGAGTCTGTCTTGTTAAAGCTGTGCCTTCCTCTACCACATGTACATACTCATATGTCACATTGTCATTTTGCCTTTGTATTAACCAGGGCACATACCATAGGAACATTCTCTTTTTTAAGCAGATGATGAAGAATTGTTTCGTGTTTGAAAGTAGTACCTAGCTGCAACATCATGATCGGCCTCTCCTTGCATCGGCGATACCACTGTTCCGGCTTATTTATATGAGTGCCTTTTGGGTGTGGGTACGCTGCCTTTTTGTCGTTGTGGACACATCTATTACTTATATATCTCATCGGTAATTGGGCGGTATCCCTCTATAGATGTGGTTTTCGTTTATATATCATTAAAGAGCAATTTATTTCATCCAACTGGGCTTGTGGTTTAGTGGTATAATACTCCCTTAGCATGGGAGTGGTCCGGGGTTCGATTCCCCGCGAGTCCATTTTTTGGCTTTTGTTTTACACCCTCTCTTTTTGGCCTTACCTAGGTATTTTGTCAAGATGAAGCTTATAAAAGATTCTAGTCTATTTGACATATACTCTTTTTTACCAAGTATCGGGTGTTCTTTATCCATGGATGCCCTTGGCTTTTGTACATACGTATGTAAGTACTTTGTACTCAATAGTTAGCTTTAACTTCCATAACTAGTCATTTTGTGTTAAATTCTACGCACTATTTCTATGTTTCTTTCTGGTTGTGTGTGCATTTGCTTGTATGTTTCGGGTGGCTTTGCTTTTTTATTTGACGTCCTGATTGGTTATATATATCGAAGGCCTGCGGGTTGAGACGTATGGTCGGGTTTTTGTCTTGGCGGCTGAGCCGGAGAGCTAACGTGGGTAAGGCATACATTTATTTCTATGTTGGAATTGATTCTAAGCCCGCGATTACTTCCTGGTGGACCTGCCAGCTTTCTACTGGGAATCATGATATTCTCTAACTGTCAGAGATACCTCTACGTATGTTGTAGTGTTTTTCCTCTGCCAGGTGGGGCTTTCCTATCTTGGCTGCCGCCGCTTTATGAGGGCGCTCAGAGTCCGACTGCTCAATGTAGTCACGTACTATCTTACTATCTTACTAACCGAACCTGAACCGAATCTGAACTGAATCTGAATTGAATCTGAATTGAGTCTGAATTGAATCTATAAAGTATATAGTATACAAATAGTAAATACTCCAAGAAGGCAGTAATGAACTAGGCGGTGAGGTAATAACCAATGAGAGAGTTATGTGTTGGATGGCATAACTACTTAGTCGCCCGTACATATATCCACGGCAACACAATCATCCTTGCCGCCACACATCCAAACCTTGCAACTGCAAATCCAAAATGCGATGGGTGGTTTATCTCCGATTTTTACGCTTTTAATATTCTCCCGAAGGGCCTCGGGGGAAGCCAAACCTGGCTTACAGCGGGAGAAACTGGTACAGAAGTATAATTCCTTTCTCCACGGTAACCCGTTTCAAGACCGAAAGGTTTGCCTAGATCGTGAGATACTGCAGGAGAAAAGGATTACTGAAGTGACTGTAGTTCACTCGAGTGAAATGATCGCTCGGTTTTTTGAGAAGGCGAAAGAGGCATCAGAGCTCGCTAAGCGAAATCGTGACCCCTTCTTTTACTCGTCTTTTGTCACGACTTATTACTAGATGCTGGGAATCAATCGAAGGGGCTTAGTATACTCCGACTAAAGGGTGTACCTGAGCCAGGCGTATCTGTTACTCTTGTCACAACCGCTTGCTATTCCGGGGGATGGACAACGTCTCCCGACCTTAACCAAACTACGACCGCAGCAGCTGGTGATGAAAAGCAAGATGAAGCCACCTCTCACTCCTGGAATGAGTCTTCAAGTATTGGGAGATTCTGGCCTTGCTTCGGACACGTCCCAGGCGCAACAATCCCTACAGCCAGAGAACCCTAATAGTGTCCAAACTTTGACCTATAATGCCTTCTACGAGTCTGTGTGGAGCACATGCGCGAACAGCGCCACGCGACTTTGGAGTTCCCAAAACTTCAGTCTCAGTGTCATATATCACTTGAGTAAAAAAATGCGAATTTGGTGGTCAGTGGCAGTGACAGCGTGAACTAGATGATTATGGAACTCCCTCGAGCCTCAGGGCTGAGAGGGGTTACCTACCTAGGTAGGGAATTGCATACAAATCTACATGATCAGGACTTGTGTCCCACCTAAACCCCCGCTTTTTACCTTTCTGATAGTCTGATTTGTTGGTCCGAGAAAAAAACACTGCTCTTGTTTATCCTACTTCGCTCCGCTCGGCAAATAGTATAGTTAGTATACTCGGTGACCAAGGGACCTTGGGAGTAAGATCAGGCTGTTCAATTAGAGCGCTCTAGTCTCAGTGAGCAAAAAGCGGCAAGGACTGAGCACTAAGAAGAAGTGGTAGGGGAAATCAAGTACGTACCTAGGTGGGCTTCCCATGGATATATATATCATTGACAAGTTAATTCTCTCTAATTAATATGGGTGGATTTCATATATATATATACATCAACACCTGAACAACGTCCACGATTCCTCCCATACCTGAAGAGCGTTGCAGATAACTTATCAAGGACAACATGTTCTTACTTTCCAAGGTTCTAAGGTTCTTCGTGCTAAAATAGACGTCGGGAAAGTTATCTCTCTACTTCACTTCGTTACTGCCTATCCCTCTACATTTCTTTACAATAACCCATCATGGACCAACGACGATCCCTTAACATCAGTGATAAGTCCACCCAATCAACCGCCAGCTCAATAGCGAGAAACGCCCAAATTGCGCAACGCTTCATTGATGCCACCGAACTTGCAATGATGCCTGACTCTACCATTCTTCAATAATCACTCAACTTGAACTCAGTTATCTCTACCACATCCTCATTTAGCCGGCGTTTCCGGGAAGCACAATCTCGGCCAGATTTACAGGACATTAACCAGATTGGAATTGGATTACAGGGCGTCGTGTTCGAACAAGTTAGCAAAGAGTTTGTGTTCAAGAAAGAAAAACCAGGCAATGAAAGTCGACTATCCAACCTATACCATAAGTACAAAATCCACCTCGATGTCTCAGCAGCTTTTAAACGCTACCAGAGGATGACAGAGACTGAGGTTATAGTTCCTAAGCTTATTGAGTTTACACAAACGACACAGCAGAGCTCATTCTAGGATAACGTTTTCCCGAAGATACCTCTCGAATATCGTACACGCGGCGATATCATAAAGATGCAGCGAATCCTTCCGCTACCTAAGATTGTCCGGCCAGCTTTAATTGCTTATTTGTGTCTTGAAACCCCTAAGACCAAAGGCCTTCTAGATAACCCTTAGAACAAACACTGCCTTACACGGATCTACCTCGGTAAGGCTAATGGTCCGTATTACCCTAAAGTACCCCTAAGAAACTTACCTCTCTACCTTGATACTATAAAAAAGATTGGAATCGAAACAACTAGGCTAGCAACTACGATAGGAAAGTCCTACGCAACCTTATATTAGGGCTCTGCTGTCAATAGCGATAACGTCGAGTTCGTATTTGGGACATTCGCCTTAGAGACGGGTAAAGATCAGTTAAGAAAGATCGGACCGCCAACGACGTGCGATCGGAATGTTCTTCCTAGACTTCGGCCAGTGCGAGTCGGTTGACTTAAGCGAGGATCCCCAAACAGTTTACCAAGCGTTCAAGGGCGCTATGGTAATGGGTGACAACCAGAGTTTCATTCCGCACTTCTCAAACGACCCTAAACTGTTTGCAGCATTTAAGAAGGGCTACAACGAAGCGGGAAATGTTATCCTATTGGACAAGGGGCTCAATGATATTTTCAGCGTGGAGGATTTTATGCAGCAGTATGAAGAGTATGCGAAGGACTTTCTATGTTAGCTCTTGTCTCGGACATTGCATCCAACTGGATTGCCTAACTAGTCTCTTTTTGGATATGGTTCACATGTAAGCATTTTGTCCACGGTGGATTAGCAGTTCAAGCCTTGAGAGTTTAATGAAAAGCAAGGTCGAATCATATCGTGAACTTATGTTTATTTACAAAGCCATATATGGCAAATATAGATGTATCAAAAGGCAATAAAAGTACACTGGTGTCACATTATCCAGACACACCTTCACGTCCGAGGCCCCAGCGACCAACCTCACGCATGGCCTCGTCACCACCTTCAGCTAGCCGTCCGTTCGTGTTAGAGGGGTTGCTGCTTCCCAAGACACCGGCCACACATTGCCAGCCATTGCGGCCACCACCCCAGCGGAGAACTTCATTCTTGTATCGCTCACCAGCGGCACGATCAGTTGCCGCCTGGCCAGACTGGAAGACGTCCTGCCAGAGTTTGTTCGCGATCGCCCGATCAAATATATAGCTGTAGTACGTGGCACCGTAGCCATACAAGTGGCCGAAGAAGCCCTGCCAAGAGGTACGTGGCTGGACATTGTTTGGGTCGGGTAGACTGGAATGCTGGGAAAAGACTCGATGATAGATATCGGTGGAATTAATGCCAGCCGAGCTAACTTCAGCTGGGATCGAGTGATAGGCTTGATCAACGAGCGCCATGAGGATCTGTGCTTCGTTCTCAACGGCACCATAGATGGACCCATGCGCAGTGCGGTCGAGCTCCATGCTCTGCATCATGCTCTCGGACAGAGGTTCGTCGGTCTTCCAGTGTCGCGCGTAGAGGCGTAGCACCTCGGGCGCAGTCGCAAAGCTCTCCATCAGTACGGAGGGAAGTTCGGCGAAGTCGGTGGCGCACCGAGTACCGGAGATGGACTGCAGAGGCGTTTGACCCAGGATGGAGTGGACAGCATGGCCCATCTCGTGGAACAAGGTGCGAACGCTCTGCTCGCTCAAGAGAGTTGGCTGGCCGGTTCCATTGGCCTGAGGTTCCTGGAAATCACATACGAGAGCAATGGTTGGGAGTTGGCGCAGGGTGTTAGTTACCGGATCTACACCAGTAGCCATGCCATCATTTGGGTGCGCAGATTGGTTCATAGAGGCACACTCGGCGATCTCCTGTGCGGAAATTTCGCGCGAGCAGCGCAGAGTAAAGTGAGCCGGATTTGGGTGTTTGCTCGGCCGTGTAAACAAGTCACAGTAGACGACTGCAATATGATTCTCCGACTCGTCCACTACATCCAATCGACGAACGTCTGGATGCCAAGTCTCACCGGGAGATGCTTCATGAGGGACTAGACGCACACCATACAAACGGTCAAAGAGTCGAGAGAGACCTTGCATCACGGTACCCAAAGAAAAGAACTCATTGATAACACCCATGTGTCGAGAGCGACGGGCTTGGGAATACTCTAGAACGCGCTTGTGAACGTAGTATGCATGGTCCCAGGGCTGCAGGGAGGAGCTTCCCTTCAAGCTCTGTAGCTTAGATAGTTCTTCCCGGACTGGACCTTGGTTGCTGGACACAAGCGAAGTCAAGAAGTTCGATACTGCTTCGGGTGTCTTGGCCATTTTGTCGCCGAGAGTCATGTGTGCAAAGCTGTTGTAGCCCGTGAGTTGTGCCAACTCTGCCCTCTTCACTAGAAGTTCCTCCAATCTTTGAATTTGGCGCTTGCTGGATGTTCGAGTGGCAAGATAGATGTCTTTGCGAACATCTTCGTCATGCACTGAGCGGAGAGCAAGTCGAGGGACGACACCCATAGTTGGAACTGGCGCCTTCTTATTCCACCGCTTGATTTTGGAGATAACCATAGGATCCAATCCCTGGAGGCTGTTGGCACCAAAGACCACCTGGGACCTTGCAGGCTCCGCGCCATTCATGAAATCGGAACCTAACTGGCTCACATCATTAGAGAGATTTACGAACCGCTGTCTGACATTGGGTGGCATATGAATTGCAGAGTTCGAAAAATCCTTGTTGAGGATCTGTGCCACGATCCGTTCTGCCTCGGTCCAGTATGATGTCACGTCGGGGTTGTTCAAGGCCTTATTGAGCTGTTCATGAAGCCCCGTAGTTGTGTTCAAAACGTTCATATATTCAAACATGAGAGCCCACGCCTGCGTGGCTGCTTCTTGTATCCGCGGATCGGGGTGAATGGTTCGAATGAAGTCGGACAGATCGATGACGCGACACAGGAGATCGCTTAGCTGGTCAAGGTCTCGTGCTAGGGCCCTGTATTCTTCAACCGTGGAGGCGGCAAGCACCTTGGCTACAATAGCCTGGCATCTCTGTAGCGAGACATTTGCGAATGTCCGAAAGCCCTCGGGGCTTGTCAGGTATTGGTTTTGGACCAATCCAGCTTGCCTTGGGACTGTGGTGGTGCGCTGCTGGGAGAACTCATTCCAAAATGGTTGGGAATCAAAAACGCGGCGCAGAGTGTGGTCATCGGACTTCTTCCTTGGTGCACTGTTATCTGCTGGAATGTACTCAAACGACGTTGACGGAGAAGATGCGGCGCTCTCGAAGGCTCGAGATTGGGGCCGCAGACGCAGGCATTTCCGACATGTCCATGTTCGTCGCAAAGGGCGAAGCATTGTAGATACTGTATTTAAAATAGATTTAAACCATCGGAAATTGTAAATTCATAAATCCTCTATTGAAAGAAACATCGAGTCAAGGAGAACGGGCAATGACGGAGTTTTCTGGAGGTTCCGCCGAGCCGAAGAATTCCCGTCTTGCTCCAACACGACTTTGCTTCATCCTCACTACCAGCTCTTCCCCCCTTCTCGTCTTCCCCACACCCTCAGGATGTCATTCCGGCCGATGTTGCAACAGGTATGCATTTTTATATTTGTTTGCTCTCTAGTTGGATGCAATTGATCCCCCAATGTCCTGTTCCCATGCTGACTTGTGCCCAGCGGGCTGTGGCTCCGATCGCAGCCACTCTCCTCGCGGGAGGTATTGCTCTGTTCCCCAAGAAGACCGCATTCGCAGAAGAGCCCCGAGACAATGTATGATCAGATCTGTTCCTAGCTTTATTGAATGTCCGAGGTGGCTTGGTCTGACACACGACTGCTTCCCTAATATAGCGGAAACCTATCTACGATGACTTCCCAGCCGACATTCCTGAACCCTCCAAACCCTCTCAGCTTGCTGCGCCTGCCGCACCTGCCGCACCGAAGCTGATCTCCGCGCCGGCTGCGCAACCCGCTCCCTCTTCGCCCACCCCGACAGATATCCTGACCGCTCAGGTCCGACAAGCTCGCCTCTTCCTCTACTCACACTCCCTTGCCGCAGAGCAGGGCTTCAACAACTTCCTGTCTCGGGCCCTCAACATCGAAAACTGCTTCACCAACACCGTTGCCTCACTCGCACCTTCTGCCGAGTCCGGCGAGCGTCTCCTGCCCGGTGGTGTCTATGTCGTCGTGACCGCCATGGCCGGCTCGATTGTCTCGCGTAACCGTGGCATCTTCCTCCGCACTGCATCGCCGCTCGCTTTCGGCACTGCTGCCGCCTACACCCTTCTGCCCGTGACGATGCGGAATGTCGGAGACTTGGTTTGGGACTACGAGAAGAAGGTCCCTGCTGTTGCGGAGAAGCACTTGGCTATCCGTGAGCGTGCGGAGCACATCTGGTTCACCGGCATTGCGCACAGCGGAATGGCGCGCCAGATGATGGAGGAGAAGATTGGTGACACTCGGAAGAAGTTGGAAGAGCTGGTGAGCAAGGGACACTAAATATAGCCCAGTTGCTTGGGGCTATAGAGCGGATTTATTTGTTGCATATGTACGCCTAGAACTCGTAGATCCGAAGACATAACCGGATTGATTCCTTTTGTTTGAATCGTTCAGTCATAAAGTGGGTGATCTGACAAGAGCACCTATGAGCGTACGCTTGAAGATGGGAACAGGTAGCTTGCGATGATCGACATAATTTGATTTCGTCATACTCTACATTAAATTGATTTCTGTTTTCTCTAAGCCATTCATTCTTCCTCCGCAGGTCCTGGTGATCCTTCCGGCGCAGGGCTCCCCGAGTGAGGGGGCGGGCCTCCCACCTTCGGCGGCGGAGGTAGAGGAGTACCATGCCGTGACGGCGCATAGTCTTGCTCCCGACTTTTCTCTTCACCCTCGGCAAAGTAATCATCAAAGGCTCTGTTGGGCGATGCCGCTGGCCGTGATTTCCCTGCTCGACGGCTGGCGGGGGATCTGCTCTGTAACGGCGAGGCACCTCGTCCTTGAGCGGAGGCCAGGGGCGGCGGTGCTGCGATATTTGCTGGGACTAGGAAGTTACCTGACGGAGCTGCCATGCCCGGGATAGCGCTTGCAGGGCCACCCACTGGGGCAGCAGTGCCATCCTCGCGTGTCTCGAATACAACCTCCCCTGGTCCCTCGACCTCTTCTCCAAGTCCAATTGGTAGTCGGTGAAGAGCACCGTATCCCAACTCTGCACCAAGGGCGCCTTCGCCACCCCAACCTCTGGTAGGAACGAGCTCGACCTCACGAACCACATCAAATTCGCTGTTGTAAACCCAAAGAACCAGTGTGCGGTTTAGATGATCTTCAACCAACTCCCCCAGTGCCGACTCCCCTCTTAACGTCCCGCTGGGGGTTCCAATGATATAGTCTGAGTAAGGAAGCAACCCGGCTTGGTATGCGGGACTGAGTGGCGATGGAATTGCAATAACATGCCAGATGTTTTGCGTAGAGGAGAGGGGGGCAAGCTGCAGCGCGAGGCCGAGGGAGGGGTTCGTTGGTGGTATAGGATGAGTGACTGTGTGTGTTCGTTGACCCTGATAGTATATAAAATTAGCTTGAATCAAAGGTACCATTTCAGCATCCTTACCTTCGCACTCCACACTTCAAGTGTCAAGCTTCCCCCAGCGCAATTTCGGCATTCTGTCGCGAAGAGGTTTGGGTCCGGATCTTCCTGTATGTCAGTGTGAGCGAAGCTATAATGCTGGGGAGAGAAATGTTCCTCTATACTTACAATTGTATGACCGTTGATACCCACGATAAAGTCAAACCATGGCTCTAGAGGCAGTTCTGGGTCTTTGTTGCGGAGGACCTGGAAACCGAATACGTTGTCACTAGGGCCGTTGCGAGGCTGTTGACCAGGCTCCCCATCTAGCCGGCCGATGAAGCGATTTAATGCGCCGAACATAATTCCTCGCTATAATTAAGATTGCGAGAGGTGATCGAATGAGGCTGAAATGGGGAAGCTGTGGTTGTGTTTACCTCGTGCAGCTGGCCAGATAGGTAGGTGCAAACCATGCAAACACCATCCCGTCTTTATCAGTTATCGAGAATCGATTGATCAACTCGCTTTATCGCTGCATTCTATCATGGCCGACGAAGACGCGCCTCCAGAGGTGCATCACTACAGCAGTTTGCACGAAGTGCCCTGGGACATCCAGAAGTAAGTGCCACTGTCATCTAAAAATACAAATGCTAACCCAATTACCAGCTACTGGGCACAACGCTACCGGATCTTTTCCAAGTACGACGATGGTGTATGGTTGACCGACGATGCTTGGTTTGGCGTCACGCCAGAACCAGTCGCCAAGTTCGTTGATCTTTTTCTATTATGCCAGATGCCCTGCTAACATTTATTCAGCGTAATAGCTTCACAGATTGCCGAATCAGCACCTGCTGAGCGCAAGGTTCTTGTGGATGCCTTTGCTGGCGCAGGCGGAAATACCATTGCATTTGCCCTGACCGGAAAGTGGAAACGAATCTACGCGATTGAAAAAAATCCTGCTGTGCTTAAGTGCGCAAAACACAATGCGAAAATCTATGGGGTGGAGGACAAGATCACTTGGTTTGAAGGCGATTGCTTTGAGGTTCTCAAGAATCAACTTAAAGAACTGGCGCCGTACAGTGTTGTCTTTGCTAGCCCTCCCTGGGGAGGTAAGTCCCACCGAATCTTTGCTTCTGTGGCATAAACTAAATATAACAGGCCCGGGATATCGTTCAGATCAGGTATTCAACCTGAAGACCATGGAGCCATATTCCCTCCAAAGATTGTATGATGAATACTCAGTATTCAGCAAGCACATGGTTCTTTACATTCCAAGAACCTCTGATTTAAAACAAATTGCAAAGCTAGTCCCTGATGGCGACAAGGCTACAGTAATGCACTATTGCATGGAGGGTGCAAGCAAGGCGTTGTGTATTTTCTATGGAGACTTCAATGTGTCATGACTTATGGTTGCTATTCATTTGACAATAATGTCATGAAATGTATTTTTACTTCCAAATATGTTTTATTATGTTTTATTCATTGTTTTCTATTTGAACCCATTGAAGTATTGAACTTCAGGCATAAGCTGATTGCCTTATCGGGTTAGCGTGAACCGGTCCCTTGCGCATTAGCCTGGACGCCCGTTTTCTCTCTTCAGCCATCTGTCCGACACGCCCCTCCTCCTCTCCTCTCTCCTGCGCGACTAGAGCCACGGCAAAACCCAATTCAAAATTGCAGACTCTCATAATACCCAGATGTGCATATTCTGAATCGCGTCGTCGCCTTGCCTGGCTCGCGCCTACATTCTTAACCTACGATTTCTCTCACCAACTTGTTAAATCTAACGCTTTCTTCATTTTACAACACTTCTCTCACATTCAACACAAGCGTACTTGCCCATCATGCCTCACGCAACACCGAAGGCCCCGGAGGGCGAGGACGATGTCGATTTCGATGATGTGATGCGACAACTGAACAACTACGAGGATAATGGCCCCTCTCTGGAGTTCTTGTCGCGTGACTTGGAGGTCGGCGAAAAAGCCGACGATGCGATCGACTACGAGGATTTTGAAGACGATGAGCTTCCGGAAGAAGAGGTCGTCGGACGCCCAGCCCCAGCCCTGCCCGCAGTGGATGACAATCAAGATCCTTTCGCGAATCTGGGCTCAGACGATGCCGCTCTTTTCGGAAATGGAGACGATCTCTTCGGTGACCAAGTAGAGGGGGCTCAGGCCCAGGACGACAATCTCGATGATCTTTTTGGCGAAGGTTCTTTTTCGCCGCCTCCTGCTGGACAGGATGATGCTACCCGTGGCCTTTTCGAAGACGAAGAAATGCCCTTGACAGATGCGCCCGTTGACCTACCACCCATCCCGTCAGCCCCGGAACCGCAGCCAGAGCCACCTATGATGGAGGATGATGAATTCCCGGATGATGACAGTATCATGTCGGAAGACATGAATCCCGTCGAACTCCGCGCGTGGAAACTTCAGCAGCAGTTGTTCGCCATGTCAGGCGTTGAGAACCCACCTGCACCGCCTGAGAACCACGAAGAGCTTTTGCATTCCTTGTTTCCTTCGTTCGACCGCAACACTCTTCCACGTTGGCTCGAGTTGATTCCCCACAAGAAAGCCATCTTCATTGGAAAACAGCCGACCAAGCCGCCTAAGCCTGTTTTACCCACGAAAGTAAATATTGAACTGGCGCCTGATCATGAGCGTGCATTCAGAACCGGTCAACCCCTCAAGCGTGGCCTCGATCACGAAACTCATGGCTTGGTGATGATCACACAATCGGACCGCGAAGATGAGGGAGAAGAGGCGGAGGAGGATACAAAGGATGACATGGACCTGGATGATGTGGACGGAGATGAAGTTCTGCCGGGTGGCTTCACCATGCAGGACCTTCGAACGATTTGTGTGGACTGGGATGTTAAGGATGATGTCTCCAGTACTGACTCGGAAGAGAAGCCATTGGCACAAAGAAAAGATGGCACCTTTGATGATGATGAAGCAGATTGGCTCATGGAAACCGAGCTTCCGAACAAGAAACGAAAGACCGGTCCGACTCCGATGGATGTCATTGCTCTATCACATATTGATATTCCCCTATTGGATGATCCGGAACAAGCGACAATGAAAATTGCAAGGAGAGTCACAATTGATCTCAATGATCCGAACATTCTTGTCGACGAATTAAGAGCGGATACCGTCGCAAATAAGCCGAAACACGCCGCTCCTCGCACCAGGGATGAAGTGGACCTGAATCTGACACGCCGTCTCACCCAGCGATACAACATTTCGAATGATCAAGCATACGATATGCTTAAACAGAATCATCAGAACAAGATCCGCAGTACTCTTGGAAACGTGACACTTGAGCACGGTCTGCCCGCCCTGCGTTTGCAGTGGCCCTATTACAAGACTGAGTTAGCCAAGGCTGAAGCTAGATCTTTCCACCGACCTGCTATGGCCTTCCGACCTGGACAAACGTCTTGGTTCAAGAATCCCGTCCAATTAAGACGCAAGCACTTGCGTGGCAAAGATGTGAAAGCTGTTTATGATTCTACAAAGTCATTGTCCATGGGAGACAACTCCAATGTTTTGCTGGTGGAGTATTCGGAGGAGCTGCCCATGACGCTAGCCAACTTTGGAATGTGCAACCGCTTCATCAATTATTACCGGCGAAAGAATATTGACGATCCCACTCGCCCAAGGGCAGATATTGGCGAAACAGTTGTTCTTCTACCCCAGGATAAGAGTCCCTACTCAATCTTTGGCCATGTTGACCCCGGCGAAGTCTCCCCGGCAATCTCAAACTCAATGTACCGAGCACCGCTATTCCCGCATCAATCCAAATCCACGGACTTCCTTGTGGTCCGCAGCACCACTGGATCAGATGGCAGTGCCTACTATTTGCGTAACATCGAAAATTTCTATGTCGCCGGACAGCAATTCCCATCGGTTGACATCCCTGGACCGCACTCGCGCAAGGTGACAACTGTCGCCAAGAATCGCATGAAGATGCTGGTGTATCGCTTGTTGAAGAAGAGCCCGGATGAGCGACTCGCGATCAGCGATGTTACAGCTCACATACCAAACACTACGGATATGCAGAACCGACAGAAGGTCAAGGATTTCCTTCAGCACGACAAAGACACTAAATATTGGAAGCCACTGGATCCAGTTCTGCCTGACCAGGATACAATTCGCTCGTGGGTTCAGCCCGAAGATGTTTGTCTTCTGGAATCCATGCAAATTGGACAGCAGCATCTTCACGACACCGGTTATGGCAACGATGCCGAGACTGGCGGCGAAAACGAAGAAGACGAAGAATTCGAGAGCTTTGAGCAGCAGATGGCTCCCTGGAAGGCAACCCGCAACTTTTTGTTGGCCTCCCAAGGAAAGGCCATGCTGAAGCTTCATGGCGAAGGAGACCCCACCGGCCGTGGCGAGGGCTATAATTTTATCAAAACAAGCATGAAGGGTGGGTTCAAGGCCATCGGTGAAAGTGTTGAGGATAAGCTGGACGCGCAGCGGCTTAAGGAGCTTGGAGGTCACAGCTACAATGTTGCCCGCCAGCAAAAGTCATACGAAACATCCATTCGTCGGATTTGGGATGCCCAAAAAAGCAGCTTGTCTTCTACCATCGAGCATTCCGACCAGGAAAGCGACGTGGACCAAGAAGACGAATACCAAGATCAATTCAACAAACCAACACCCCGATCCGAAGCACCTACACCTGGACCATATCGTCGTGATGATGAGACAACAAGTCAGTTCAGCAAAATGAGTTTCAATAGCCAGCGCGGAAAAGTGTTGCGCATCACCCGCCAGGTCAAGCTAGAAAACGGCGAAATCGTGGAGCAGGAACAACATATTTTCGATCCCCGAGTGATCAGACACTACATCCAACACCGTCACCATAACGAAGCCATGCACACAAAACTGGAATCTCTCCAGCCCACGGGCGATCCAGAAGTCGACGCCCGCAACAGGAAGTTGATCGAAGCTGAGCTCGGCCGTCTCAACCGCAACAAAGAGCGTCGTTTTGCCCGCGAGAAGCAGAAGGGCATTCCTCGTTCTGGCGATCCGGACGGCAAGCCTGCTGGTACTCAGCGCAAGTGCGCCAACTGTGGCCAGGTCGGGCACATCAAAACGAACAAAAAGCTCTGTCCGCTGCTCAATGGTACTATGAAGCCCGAGGATCGTGTCACGGATTCAGCTTTCTCCATGAGTGCGCCGGTTCTGTGAACCCAGGTTGCTTTTTGCCACTAATGCACCTATCTCTTTAATCATTTCCCCCTTCCTATCCATCTACTCTGAACTTGATACCCCCTTGAAAGCTTCTCTGTCATGAATTTGCTCTCCGATACCCTATTTCTTGCCTACCAGATGTGATTAGAGACTATACATAGGCGCTTTCTCCTTGCTGTGTGTATGAATTTCCGAGCGTTGTTTCCCTTTCTGTTGGGTGTTTCGCTTCATCCATCTTCGATGAAGTATCATAGGGAATAGAGTGTATTCAACCTGATGACGATACATTTTGTGCACTGTAGGCTAACATTTTCTATCCATAATAATATATTCATTCCTAAGGATACATAAGAGGGAGAGTGGAGCGAACATTGTAATTCCAAGGAGGGTGAATAGTCACCTATGAGGGAATGAGGCGCTATACAAAATGAAAAGAAGGGTTATATGGATATGCTTGATCCGGTGAAAGGATGGCAGTGTGTCGTGTAAATGGGAATGTAACAATAGCCAACAGGTTTGCTCCAAGTCAAGTCAACCAAGGAGGTAACTCCCCAGTCCACCCGTGGACGGCTTTGCTCTGTATAGTCACGATGTGTACAGGCCAGCCAATTGGCCTCTGGTATAAGGTTGACGCCCTCGCTCTGTGCTGAAAGCCAAAGCAACGTCGTTGGGTCGCCGGTATGTGTACCCCAGAAAAGCGCCCTTTTTGCGAATGTCCAAGACTGTCTTGCTCATCTGTTTGTCCCGAAGGATTTTGTCGCGGGGCCGCTTCTTCTCCTTTTGCTTTTTGGCATCTTTTGCTTGCTCCTGTGCTGTGCGTGGGGTAGCCTCAGCAACTGGCGGCTGAACAGCGTCCTTCGCTGGACTGATTTCTTGATTCTCAGGGATAATCTCATCAGGCTCTTGGTCACCATCCTCCGAGCCACTACCAGCAGCATGCTCGACCTCATCACTGGCCAACTCCCAGTCGTCAAAATATCTAGTGTCCTCCCAGTTCTTGACCCTAGGGATCACTGGTGGTTGGCACATATGAAGATCTTGCCATCGGATACCTCGGAAGAACGGATGAATCTTGATGTCTGTTGCATCGTTGGGGTAAACGTAGTAGCTCGCGATATTTCTATACCGCGCGTCCATGGAGTACATCATTTGAGTTGAGACGGGTCGTCCATTCAGTATATCATTGGCTTGGTACTTCGGAGAACACAGGCGGTATTCGCGCTCTTGGAGCATCCTGATTATCAGATCAATGGCCTCTCGAGAGACTAACTTGTCCGTGGATTTCTCCCGTGGAAATCGCAGAGTTCTCGTGTGTTGCTTGAGAGGTTTTTAGAATGAAATGTTCACTAGAACAAGGGAACAAGGTAGGTACTCACAAGGATCTTGATCTTTGTATCATGGCGATTTTCACAGGCAAAGGGCGTGAAACCATATAGACACTGGAAAACGATGAGGAATTGATACACATATAACAGAAATGTCGAGCGACCTACCTCGTATAGAATGATACCCAAGCTCCACCAGTCGCATCGTCCGTCATACATTTCACCGCGAACGACCTCAGGTGCCATGTATTGACTGGTTCCAACAACACTTTTTGCGAATCTGCGTCGCCCCTTGCTGTTCCTCCAATCCAACAAACCCGTCGAGGATGGCTGATGCACAGTATAATCATCCAGACTGTGCAATTTTATCTCAGGCGGGAGCTCTTTCGCTTCGGCAACCTCTTTCTGATCTTCGGAATCACCCTTGACATCAATGCCAAGTTTCTCCAGCAAACAGTAGCGATGGCTGTTGTAATAAGCTTGATCATGCGACCAGTGCCCATTAAAAGCAAGACCGAAGTCGGAAATTTTCAAATGGCCCGACGCAGAGATTAGGAAGTTATCAGGCTTGACATCGCGATGAATCCAGCAAAGTCGATGTGCCTCCTCGATGCACAATATCATTTCGGCGATGTAAAATCGTGCCCAGTCCTCGCGGAGTATATCTTTGCGGATCAGTAACCCCAAGAAGTCACCACCAACCATGTAATCCATCACAAGATATAGATTGTTGGCATCTTGAAAGCTGGCGATCAAAGGAACAACCCATCGGGAGCTTTCAGAAGCAACGAGGAAATCTCTTTCCGCTCGAATATGGCCTTCCTGGGAGTTGCGGATCATTTCTGACTTTTTGATGACTTTCATGGCGTATACCTCCTTCTTCTCGCCGGTCATATACCTTCGACGGCTTTGTTTGGCACCTTCTACGGCAGACATCAGAGCTCCAAGAGGGTTCGATCTGGGATGGACATTGTTGTTTTTGAGAGCCAACGGGTCATTTTCATGGGAACTCGAATCACAGTCATTCCGTCGAACAAGACGCACAACACCAAAACTTCCTTTCCCGAGTACCTTGATGGCTTTGTATCCTGTGACAGACATGATACTTTCGCTTTGGGTGCAGTATCGATTTGATTTGAGCACACGGCACTGTCGAATATAATCGTTCTCTCCCATGACCCAGTTGTGTCTCGTCATTAAGCGCTCTTCGGGCGTGAGTTCAAACGCATAGATATGGTGCTCTAACTCGAGCTGACGTTGCTGACGGGGATCTTTGTTTTGAAAAATGGAGTTGAAGTATAGCTCCAAGTAAACTTTTGCCACTGATGTCGCTTCCACGGTTTTGATTGACGGTGTTGTCGCATTTAAGTATGTGCCTGAAGCGCTGGCCGCTTCATTGGTCTCAGAGAGAGAGAGCCAATGGACCACTGCAGCTTCGTGTTCATCGTGCAACTTGTTTTTATCCGAGGAAGGGGACGGCCCACCGGACGTGAGTGGAGTCAGTGAAGTTGACTGTCCGCCAGTAGGAGACCTATCACTACTGGGGCTGGTTGATGGGTCTGAGCTATCACTGACACCGTCATTCTGTTCGCTCAGGTCGTCTAGTACTGGAGAACTGACGCGAAGGACACTTGGTCTCGACCGAAGATGTACCCGGCGTATGACAGTGGCGTGGCCAAACGCCAGCGAGATCCTTTGCGAGAAGCGATTGACAAATTTTGAATTCGTTGAACTTGGTTGCTCGGTGGCAGTAGTTGGCAGAGGGTTCTCATTTGTGGCATGTTGCTGCACGTCGTCAACAACAGCCGATTGACTCGTTAACTCACCCTGACTCTCGGGTGACGGTCGTAGGTCGGGAAGAGGCTCAGACAAAGTTTCAACCCCTTCGGTGGAGATTCTGAGTGAAGGAGTGACAGGTATTGGTTCGCTTTGAGGGGATTCGGCTGCAGTCAGATATCCTGGGCTGTCATCGCCGTTACCACTTGGGGAGGATGGGTTTGAGGGGCTTGGGCTTTCGGCGCCGGCCTGTACGGAATAGCAACAATCGGTGTCGGTGCTGAACGCTTTGTTGCCTGTGACGCAGAATCAGTGAATGGTCAGATATAGAAAAACATTACCACTCACTCTTGGATGAACCGCGCAAACCCAGCAACAGTAGAATCTTGGAGCCGCTTCGAGTTAAACGAACCCTAAGCCGATCCTTTCCCGCCCTTGGGATAATTGGCTCTGATGCCGGACTTTCTGTCGTCTCAGAATCAGTTGGAGATGTGTCTGGCTTTCCAGAGACGACGACTTTAGTTGGGATCCAGAGATTGAAAAGACTTCGTCGTGTTGTATCTCTTTTACTGGAGGCTGCCATATTTGCCTCTCAGAATGAATGAGTGATGGATAAAACATCTGTGGGCCTTAACAATATATTGAGTAGATGCATGAAGCATGAAGTATGAAGCATGCAGCTTAGGTGTTTGTAGTGAAGTAGCCATGTTAGGGCTGGCAACTACGCCAAAGGGTAGGTGCCACCGAACGTTCTGTCGGACCTGATGAATCTGATGAATCTGATACATCTCCATATATAAGTTATACATGGCGATCTGGACGACACCAACACCCATGAGATAGGTATTATGCATTCTCGTATCCCCCGTTGCTGTCTATTTATTCAGCCGGGCGTGGCCACGCATGATTTCATTTATCATGTCGGTCCCCAGAGGGAAATCGTGCTCGAAGATGGGCTCCCTGCCCTATAGGGAAGATATGGGCGGCTTCAAATTAAGCCCACTCATCTGAACTTGCAAACTGGTTGACTACTCCAGTCAACACGCACTTTCCGTCCCGGGCTCGAACAGAAACTCGAAACGAGTCTTCACGAGCGCTTCGACTACGGGAATGAACCCGTCCAACACAAGTATCACGCGGGTCAGTTTGATCTCACCTAATAAAATTAGCCTGGTTCCTCACCCCGAGGGCAAAAGATATGATAGTCACCTTCCACTAAGCGATTAGAGATTATCGGAATTGGTACACCGGTGCCTCTAAAGCGGATCGAAATAGTAACACATTCATTAACATATAAAAGTTCACATTTCGGTGAAACATGTTGTCATGCGTAGTGGAGACGATGTGATGGTGGAGAGTGGAGATCCTGGGGATCTTAGAAGTATGTTTTCTATCAGGAGACCGAAGAGAATTTCCAGACCATGATACCTGGTTATTGCCAACCTGCAATGAAGAACTTAACTAACCATTGCTCCTACGCCGACGACCGATACATCATAGACATGAAGATATAAAACATACTGCATCCAGTCTCGGACGGATATTTGAACAGCGGCCCACGTAGAAGCACTCGATGACCGAGTCATGGCCAGAGATCAAACCCCCACAAGAGCCGTTCAGCATGTTGATGCCTCCGAGGGTGACCGGCTTCAACCTCCGGCGCAAGAAATGGATCGATCTCTCAGTCGACCGCATCTCACATATCGAGTGGGACAAAGACGCCTTCGAAAGTCTAGCCACCGACTCTAAATCCAGAGACCTCATTGAAGCACTGGTGACCAACCACGTCGAACTCGAGTACTCCGCCAATCTGATCACCGGCAAAGATAACGGACTTATCTTGCTTCTACACGGTGGTCCAGGAACAGGCAATAAATTGACCGCAGAGAGTGTGGCTGAAATAGACGAGAGACCCCTCTATCGAGTCAAATGCGGTGACGTCGGAATCAAGCCAGAGGAGGTGGAGAAGTATCTCGAGTCCGTGCTACACCTGGGCAAGATCTTCGAGCAGCGTGGTCTGGAATATCTGAACTGGAATGCGCTCGTATCGGCATTCCTACGCGTGATGGAATATTTCGAGAGAATCCTGATCCTGACCATCAACCGCGTAAGTACCTTCGATGAGGCGTTCAAATCGCGCATTCAGTTGGCACTGCACTATCCCCCCTCGGCGAGGGGCAGAGATGATCCATTTGGCAAACTTTTATCAAGCGCCTGGACGGGTTTGACGAAGAGGCTGTTGATGTTGAAAACCTTATGGGGAGCTTGGATGTACTTCAAAAGAAGAAATTGAATGGTAGGCAAACTCGGAATGCCATCACCACTGCGCGGCGGAATGGAAAAGGGAGCTTCTCACGTATCGTCACCTCAAAGATGTGATTGAGGTGTCTGCAAGATTTGATGGCTACTCGGAGAATATTCACCGCGGTGGTCTCATGCAGGCTTGAGTGCCACCGAATCAAAATTGACGGCTGGATAGCGTTGAGGGAAGAATGGCCAGAGTGTGGAACCGTAGCGGGATATTTGCAATTGAATGCGATTTGGCTTTGTAACTGGGAAGATACATGTATCCTGTGCTTAAAAGTTAAACGTAGAAGGGTCATTAGGGGGATTAGAAAAGGCCTAGAACAAAGCGTTAGCATAGGGTGTGTATAAGCGAGCAGCATTCCGTACTCGTAACTCGTCAAGAAAAGCATAATACATACCCATGAGTCAAGTTGAGCCCACCATATCGATCCCTCGAGACTCTCAAGTAAGCCTGCATCGTCTCCCGTATTCATACCTAAATCGGTTGGTGGCATCATGAAATCAGCCGCCTGGGTGTCATAGAGAACCGATTTTACATTCGCATTTTGTGAACCCTCTCCCAAAACATAAAGAGTATCATTTCCACTAGAAGGATAGGCCCGAGTCTCAGTAGAGACCCCATTGGACCCAGTCTGCCGATGAACCTCCTGTCTCAACTCCTCCAGAATGATCCCGTAACGGCGACTCGGACAGTTCTTACGCGTGGCCTCAACAAGGTGTTGTTGGCAAGACTCAGCGAGAGAAAAAAGCTGGCGTAATTTATCTCGGTCATTGGGACTTCCGACCGGAGAGACAGAGACAGAGCTAGATCCGCCCAAGGACTTACGGTGCTGTTGGATGGTATGGATGTAAATGACCAAAACAGCACAGAAGCACACATAGTGCGTGAACCAGAAGGACTGGATTAGCACACCTTGATGCGCGAGGCCATCGGTTATTGTCATGATGTCCTCGGCAGCCTGGATGCATTTCTGGACGTGCGAGCTGACCATCGGATGCGGGACTTTCGGTCTGCGGCTGAGGTCTGTGAAATCGTTTAAGAGGAATGAGCGGGTGACGTGCATCATAGCGTGGGAGTAGGCAAGTTGGAGGACTTGGCTTTGGCGGCAGAGGGGTGGGATTAAACTAGTTGGGTGAACACTGTTGAATATGGGTGGGACGGTTTCTTTCCATTTTTCGAGTTCAGAGGTTAGGCGGATTGCGGTCTCGATGGGGGAATCTCGAGAGTGTGTGTTTATGCTATATAGCTGACGGGATATATCGCCCAGAATACGACCGAGTCTGGGATCGGTGTTAGGTGCCCAGATATACTATATGAGCATATGTACAGGGTAGGTAGAGAGACTCACCGGTAATGGAGAACAGAGGCAATCATCATGCTGTCTGTTGATCCTGTTCTCCGCGTCGGATCTTCTTCCAGTAAATCTTCGTCGTTCGTCTCTTCCGGTAGTTCTTGGTCGATGTCCTCGTCGTGAAGTAATCGAGGTCTTCCGAACATAATGCTTAGGTATTTGTCTAGAGTATATACACTCCAGAAGATGCGTCTGCGGAGCTCTAATTCTAGATGCGAGCACCCGTTATTCGAGGCTTTGGCTGGCCCCTTCCTGTGTAATCCAAGTGCAGTCACAATCTGCATTGTCGTGCCGAATGAGTACCAGCATTCATTGGCCCGTGATGACGACAGCAGATATAGGCATTGGCCTAGCCGGGCCTGGATGGTTTCCAGTCGCGGCGGTCCTGACTCGAGAGAGGACATGTATTTCGATGCTGCGTACCAGCGCTCACTATAATCTATCAGTTAGGCTCTTTTTCTGACAATATTGAGAGATTACTAACCTTTCTAACCTTTCACCCCGCCCACCAGGCATTCCCCCAGGTCTCATTTCCACATACAAAGTACTCACGGCAATGATCATGAGAACAATAGCAGTCCGGGCAACCATATTTCCCACAGGGAGATTCGAGAGGCCGATGTTATTTTGGTAAACCTGTCTAGTCCAGTCTTCCACATTGCCCCTGTGCACAAACCGATAAGTCACCATAGAGTAATCGAAGTAAATTCCCACCAGCTCCAGCGCCTTCTCCAGAGACGGGAGGGTAAACTCTGCCTCCTGGGGATTGGAGTAAGGCTTATCACCAAACATAAAAACGGCTGTATTCCGCGAGGACTCATTTTGGAGTTCATCCGGATAGTGCGTCGTTTCATCTTGATGCAGACGGCTCCATACACGATTGATAAACGACACACCGGATGAAGGGCCGAGGTAATTACCCTCAAAGTCCGTTGATCCTGGCTCCGGTGAATTCCGTGATGATAACACATGCTGGTACTGGTTTTTGTTTTTATTTGGGGCTGAAAGTAGATTGTCGTTTACAGTCGAGTCCCGAGAATTGCCTTGTAAACTGGGGCTGGACGTGAGTCCATCCCCATCCTCAAATGCACGACGCCCAGTCGGAGTCGAAAGTGGACTCGGTGATGCAGGGAGAGGGTCTGGTGGTAGGCCCCGAGAGTATGCAGCGTTGTACCTGCATGGCAGCGACAATCGTGTACATCGTGTGCATGGTAAAGTACCAGTGCATCGGGTTTTCTTTACTTTGCACGAGTCACAGGCTCTGGTGATTTTCTGGCGGTGTATAACACCGTTTTTTAATGTGTCGGAGGCTTTCCTCTTGTTAGACACGGGCTCCGTTGAAGTTGTTTCATTTAATTTGATCGCGGGCCGAGGAGATCGCATGGCAACGCTAGTGGTTGTCATAACGAGATCGGCAAGACAAGCCGAGCCAGGTAATTAATTCCCGAGTAATATCGAAAGGAGATGACCTCGAAGTACCTAGGTAGAGGAGAGGAGAAGTATCCGGGGAAGAGGGGGAAAATGGAAAAGCACAGGATCTCGGCCAAGTCTCCGGTCGGCGCGGGGATGCCTCCACCTCCCCGGATTCTTGCCTGAGGAGAGTACACTGTGTACACTTTATATTGGAAGTATATATATGAGTTAATCTACGCAAGCTACGATTATCAAGAAAAATCAAGGGAAAGTCGGACTTTCACCGGATAGAGGGCTGTTTACTGAAGTGACGATATAGACATCGTCCAACGAGATCACCCATTTGCTCTCTGTAGCTACAAGTCGAAAATCATTTTTATATGGTCCCCCTTAAGGAAATTTACCATAGGTTAGTATATCATATTAACTTGTTGGAGAAGCACAACTGACACTGACATCATGTCCATGGTATTGATAGGAGCAGAGGAAGAACATGCTCAACAAATGATAGTGCGATCGGCTACCCATATACCCCTACGGGTGTTATTACAGGAATCCAATATCATCCTGAAACGAAATTCGCCGACGCTAACAGAGAGGAGCCTCGATCCGCACGAAAGGACAACCGGTGCACATTATAGACCGAAGGAGCATGTAGTATGATTTCAGTGACCGATATGAAGTTGAGATGAAGTCGAGTCATATATCCGTCAAAGAAGAAATGTGGATAAAGGCCCTGCGCTAGGAAGGATATTCATTGCACGATGGTTGCTGTTGGAAGAATATCTGCCAAGAGCTTGATTTTGTGATGCCAAAGTCAATATATATATAAAAAGAAAAACAGATCCCACTTGCTCCGAACCCACAAACACCGGTGTAACTCCAACCCGAGAAACAAAGTCCGAATGTGACAAGCTAGAACGGGGTATCTCTGGGTATCACTTCTGTCAAGGTACGGACCTTCCGCAATGTTGCAAGATTCTAAAGCCCCTAGTTCCGGGATGGCAAAGAATATTTGCAAAAAAAAAAAAGAAAGAAAGGAAAAAGGAAATATAATGCTAGGGATCGGGTAAGAGAATAGGAACAGTCTGGTTTCTTGCGAGATCTCAATCTGTCTCGAGATATGGCAATAAACATGAAGATGGAGCCGGCCACACAGCTAGATGAGGGATGATGTGACGGTTCTCTGAATGATCTGCTCCATCTCAAAGAGAAACGCGACAAGAATAACAGCTATAAAGGAAACGCTATGAAACAACCAGGTTCGTTTGGTCGTTCGAGGATTTGAGATCGAGAAGATTTGGCGGGGAGGATTCGGAGGAGACCGGGGTAAGCGCAGGCATGTATTCGTGCAGAGATGCGTAAATGCTCGAAGAGAGATTGGGTTGTAATTCAGCGAGGAGGATTGAAGTAATTGCCCATTTGATTGTTGGGAGTGATGTTTAGGTTCAGGTTCACATTGAAGTCGCGCACGCCTGAATGTTGGGGGCTGGATTGATTCTCGTCTTCCAAGATACTGTTGAGGAGATCTCGAATCTCTCCAGGGGTTGCTCCCGATCGTATGGTACTGACGATTGATTGCACCGTCGCGCCGTCACCATCTCGGATGAGCCCGATGAGATCGTCCACAAATGACCGGAAATGGTCCAATTGGTCCTGGACTCTCTTGGCGGAGGCCTTACGGCGTCTGTCGGCGGCTTCATCGAAGACACATTCGCGGGCGTGGGTTGAGCATTCGGTGCAATGAGGAGGGCCGGTACACTAACAGGATAATAAAAAAGAGCATGTCAGATTGATTGAAGTACAGATTAGGTGAGATAAAAGGGGAGAGATAGCAAGGGAAAATAGGAAACGCAGTGGATATGTACCCTGGTCCGCCGTTTTTGACACTCTGTACACGCCGTCGATGCTCGCCTCATTCGTTTTTCTTCTGGTGCACTCCCGCCAGCAGGGCTCCCTGCTCCCTCTCCCCCATCCCCGCTCCCTCCGAGTAGCCTGGTGCGAGGCGCAAGAGGCCTATAGCCCCGGGGTACTTGTTCACTCATCAAGTCTGCGCACAAAAATAAAACAAAATGATGAATAACAAATCAGAAACCCAACTCTCTGTCTTCCCAACCACCATTTGAAAGCATGATAATCAAGCAAATCACGTGGAAGATGGAAAGGTCATAGGGAAAGGTATAGAATGGAGAAAGAGAGAAGGCACCCTGGGGCCGCGCTAGACCTATGGAGCGAATTCTGCACTTGTGCGCTGCCTAGATTAGAAGGACATGAGGGTAAAGTGGGGGGGAAGGAAAGAGAGATAATCAGCAAAAAGACGAAAATAATAAGAAAATCTCTGAAAATAACAGGGAAATAACGGGTAAAGAGATTGGAGAAAAATAGAAAAAATAAAAATAAAAAATAACAGCAAAAAGAAAAACAGGGAAAAGCGAGACAGAGAGAGAGAGAGAGAGTGAGGGATCGAGAATTGAGTGGCGGATGTGGGCCTTCAGGCATGTCCAAAGGATCGAACTATTGGAGAGGCTCCAGGAATAATACTTGAAATACTTGATTTAACATACCATTTATGAATTAGAAAATAAAAGAAGAAAATATATAGTTAACTAGTTATAGCTATACATACATACATAACTAGTTACATACGTAGCATACAACACACATAACTATTACCGGCCTGGCACTCGAGACCTTCTTTCCATTTTCCATTTTAGTGCTCACCTCTTGCCGCTTTTTGATCACCCGAGTAAAACCGAGCACGTCCCTGACATCGGGAGTACCCTGACTGGTGATCACGGGCCATTATATAATCAACGTGATCTGCCCGGAGCATCACCTGATCCACTTACTGATCATCATCTGAGCAGTTCTCTATATGTATAGATAAGCAGCTAAGTAAGCTAGCTATATTAATAAAATGCGACACGCTAATCCTATCACGTATAACCCTGTCTATTTAGATCGCCTATCAAAAAAAAAAAGCACTAGTTAGTTAGCGCAGTTAAGTTACGTGACCGTTTATTCTAGCGGTCTTGATCCTATCTACAACATAGGTGAAAAAATTTGTGGTAGGGCTATTTAATTAACCTATCATTTTCTATTTCGGTCCATACTGCTAGGAATACCCTCGGGATACTTCGCATACTAGCCCGGCGATCCCCTAATCGGGCTTTGCACTACTACTAGGGCGAGGGTAATTAGATGAATTTCCTTAAAGGTTAGAGGCCTACCCTATATCAAGGCAACTAGAGTAATGAGTATTCAGAAGGTAACGACGATAAACTACTTCTCTCGCTAATAAGCGTATAATATCATATCTTTCGCGCTATTGCTAAGTAGGTCGTAAACCGAATAGCTTTAGGTCCGTTATTATATAATTAACGGAGAACTTACTTATATACCTCGCGGAACTTAAGTCGGATCTCTTCTCGCTGCGGAAACCAGTAACTCCAGAACTTTTGTATATCGAGGGACTCGCCTTGCGCCTTTTCCCATATCACATATGTGATAAACCCACCAGGGACGATATCGTCTTCGTCTTGTTGGTCACACTGATATCCAAGGAGCCGAGGAATAACATCGCAACCTTTCTCTTAGGGGGACTTGAGAGTGGTAAGCTCTGTAGGCTCATAGGACTTAACAGCCTGTGTGGCCCGGATTGAAGCCTTCTTAAACTCGGTGCCGGCAATAGGTACTTGCTTATACACTCGCATAAATGCAAGTGTATTGCTAGAGCCAACGGGGTGACAAAGAAACTTCTCAGTCACGCATGCTGGGCCAAGGCCACTAGTGACATTCTGCTGACTCATAGTAATAGTACGCTCCTGTAATTTGCTAACGATTGCCCATCTCGAAGGGCCAACGTCAACAATGAGAAGGACTACGGGCACACTTTTTTTGCTTGCGGCACACTTTCCACTAAACTACTTTGGGTATTTCTCCCGCTGGCCACAGTTTTTAACTACCCAGTGTTATTTATTATGGTATCGCCATAGTAAAAAACACAGCCCCTAAATCACCCCAGCCACATAGTACTTCCATGATCTGCTCTATGATCCGCTCTATACTCGGCCCTATATTAATTCCCCATAATAATACTCCTATAATCATGCCTCCATTAAATCACATGATCTGGATAGGGCTAATTGTTAGAGTTAATCGAGCCTTAGCACCCATAATAATGCACCATACTAATGCACCCATTAAATCACGTGATCATGATACCTTTACATAGTGCCAGGTATAGATCACGTGATCATAGTGCCTTTACATGGTGCTAGGTACAAGTCACGTGATTATAGTGCTAGGTATAGATCACGTGATTATGGCAGGCTAGGGTTAAGCGAGCCTTGGCACCCACAATAAAATCTCTGCATGCTAATTGTCGTCCATTAATTCTGATCTCCCATTGTAAAAGCTTCATTATTATATTCTATTTTTCTCTCCATTTTAATTTAATGAAAACGTCAAATAAGGCTCGATTAACTCTAACAATTAGCCCTATCTAGATCATATGATTTAATGGAGGCATGATTATAGGAGCATCATTATGGGGAATTAATATAGGGCCGAGTATAGAGCGGATCATAGAGCAGATCATGGAAGTACTATGTGGCTGGGGTGATTTAGGGGCTGTGTTTTTTACTATGGCGATACCATAATAAATAACACTGGGTAGTTAAAAACTGTGGCCAGCGGGAGAAATACCCAAAGTAGTTTAGTGGAAAGTGTGCCGCAAGCAAAAAAAGTGTGCCCGTAGTCTTTCTCGTCAACAATATCCAATGGACCAAGGGCGATCCTGGTGATTGGGCGGGAGTGACCGTGGTCCCCTCAGGATGAGTGAGGGAGTCGGGTGACGGTGATGACATTATGGTGATAATTGATGAAATCTGAGATGTGAAAAGGAGATGACAATTAGAAAGTAGTAGGAGGTATTTAACTATGGTGAACCTGGAAATTTGGTATTGTGGGGCTATCATGTGACTAAAGCATTATAAGTGGCCGAGCGGGCCGCAGCATTACCTTCCGAAGACAAATCTTAATTTGAGGACCGATAATGATATAACAGAAATCAGATGTATGGCGAGCGTACTGGTAAATTCTCTATCTCACTAAAAACAAGAATGGTCTGTATTTATCTGGTCAGAACAAATTAGCAAGCAAATGCATGATAAAAGAGTCACATGTTTACATGGTAAAAAGACACATTTCAACCCGCCAAGAAAGTAGGGCTCTAGTGAGGGCAATGGAATATGCTCTATGGATTGAAGACTAAGAGAAGAGGAAGAGCAACATACTATATATCGAGCAAGTATCTCTATATTGTTAGATGAGTCGATAGATATACGGATCATATTGACCCGGGTCTTGTAGTCAGATGTAGTAGGAAACGAGCAATACTAACTAACAGGTTAGTGGCTTAGTTAAATGATCCCTAATCATATAGAAAGCCAGCTGAAATATAGGCACATGGATGTCGAACCATTAGAAGACAGAAGGAAATAATACCATAGAGTTCTCCGCTCCTTCCTATGCTCCTTCGTTATAACGTATTTTCTTGATAAGATATAGTGCTCCAAAAAATAAGGGTGGCAGCAATACTATCATAGTATAAACAACCCTGTGGGGCTAAGGTATAGTCTGCAGTGAGCTGAGTAATCAGAGAGCATCCATGGATGAGCATCAGTCATTCTGCACGTGACCGCACTGAGCATGATCGCTGATCTGAGCCCGTGCTGACATCTACTCAGTGAGCCTGAGCATGAGCACCCTCACAAAAGCGGCGACAGACCAAAGAGGAAAGCCCCACACGCCAGGGAAAATCCGGTATGTATAGACACATACATATAAACCTATATATTTAATGCAAATCAAATAGTCGAAATGGAGTTAAAATAGCAGCAATTACCGGAGTTAATAGTCATGTATATACTTTTTCTAATACTTTCTCTGTTCATATTGTCATTCATAGCTTGACATACCCGTCTAATCCTATCCATAACCCTAATCCGTCGACACGGAGTTATTTTCCGGGGTAAATGATAGGCTCAACCAACTTCGAAACATGAAATCATCGCCAGAATTTGAACCTTTGATAATTCCATATATCACTTACATTGAACAGGTTAATATAAAATCAGTTTTATTCCCAGTCTTTTTTTCTTCCTAGGTTCCCCTTTCCGTGTCAATTGGGGGGAAGGGGGGAAGAAAAAAGAAAAAGAAAAAGAAAAAGAAAAAGAAAAAGAAAGCAGGTCTATGTATGTTGTATGTGCTTCAGCCGATCCCTGACATTCTCGGTTCACTTTGTCGACCAGGAGATCTAGAGTGTGATGCAACCTCTTTCTTTTTTCTCGAAAGAATCTCATACCATACTCCCATAGCTTTATGTGCAAGGCTCCAGGAGATGACTCCAGTTTTCCCTACAACATACACGCCGATATAACTAACTACGTAGTAGGTATCCATACATGGAAACCACCTAATAGTGCAGTGGAACGTGCAACCCCCACCGGGCGAGTTGTCACATCCCCACTATGGCAGAACCAAAGACACACAAGTCGCTAAACCAGTGACCATGTCCCTCTCAGCATATTAACTCAAAACTATAATTTCTGACATTCTAACCTCCCTGTTACACCGTTCTAGGATCAACTCTCGTCTAGACCGCCAATTAACAAGAAGTGAAGAATCTATCTAATTACCCTCAAGTAGTTATAAAGTGGCTTGATATTGGCTGGAAAATTCATCCTCAAGTGTCGAGTAACATCCATCGAGCTAACGAGAGGAATGACACTATACACAACATATGTATGGCTCTAACTTCTCGCCTCTCGGCTGCTCTTCGGGCTTGCTCTACCACGGGTTGTCCGCAGCCACCAACAGATTCTTGCCCCTTGATTACCCCATTTCCATGGATCAACTCTGTCCGGTGTACGAAGTATATGCAGTCCCATCTTCCTATCTGGGTGAAGATTCTGTGCATGAAATGGATATCCTTCAAAGTTCTGATGGAGTACATGCATCCATGGATGCAATTTCAACCGATTTCAACCGAAATTACTTGTGGGTATCCCAAGACGAAGTGGGACAAGGCAATCCAAATACGGACCAGTAGGCCAAAACACGACATTGTCCTGATAAATTTGACAGGTGGGCCACAATCCAACGCTCTGACTGGTGTTGGCGAAGCGTTCTATTATCCGTTTTGAGAAGAGGCAATCTCGATATCCTCATCTTGTTCCTGACTTGGTTTCGCAATACACGACATGGTCTTTAACGCTTAACATTTATGTACTCTTTTTTTTAAGGAAAAAAAAAAAAAAAAAAAAAACAAGACGAAGAGATCTACAAAGTACAAGTCCGTCACCGCAGTTTTGGACGAGGCTGTTACGTTTGACATCAATGATTCCCCCGGGAGAATACTTCCGTACCATACGCTGTACCGAGAAAACCTTGAAAGATTCCAAGAAGAAGGCTTTCGCATCTTTCTTATTGGCCAATTCAACCATGACTCAGATATCGAAGGGTTCTCAGCATCTGCGGAGAGGTGGAAGAACCCTCCGCTGGTCATCACATCTCGTCTATAATATATTAGACTCAGGGCCTTACTCGGCATAAGCGAGTCGAAGTACAATATAATACACGCATCTCTACAATCTCTGCAACATAACCTATATCAATAACTACATATCACACAATTCTCCATCTTCTCTTTACAAATATCTCCACTATTCCAGTCCCCGTGCTTCTACCATGCACAGTTCTTGCGCCCGTTCACCGATCTTCGGCGCCACAACGCTACGTGGCCCCTATGTTACCGTACAACTCCCAATTATTCAGGTATAATCCTGCCTACTCCATGGGACTACCTACGGCAATGCAAGGAAGAAATCCTTCCCGTGTTTCCCTAGAGCAAGCAGTGATCATCCGCACTATACCTACTAGATCGTTACAAGTTGCCCTAACCGTATCTCAGCACTAAGGGTAGCGGGGCCGGAGAATGCAAACGCAATCTTGTGGAAAAAAAAGGTGGAAAAAAAAAACCCCCGAAAATCTAAGACCATACGGAGCAACTGGATACGGCGTACGGATACTGACCATATGTATCCACCCCATTTCCCCCCTCAGCACTCCTTGATAGGATTGCCTCTCTTGGACGACGCTCAAGAAGCGGTCAATGTTGGAATTCGCCACGAGAGTCCTCTTAGGGCTATCTTACCTTCCCTATGTAGAGTAGGTACTTTTGCGCCAGCCACACCCGTATGTACTCCGTACACCAAGCACACAAAAGCAGTCCCATCTCCCAAGGAAACCTTTCCCTGCGAGCAAAGATAGGAGCTGGTTGGCTGACCGTGCAGGAATGCATTCCAGGGTTCCTTCCAAGGGTTTTACCGCGGCATCTGATAATCTGCATGTATCACTTAACTTCCCCCCTTCCTAATTCGTCATTGCTGCTTGGGACTACGAATCGCACATCTGTAGATAGATCCTTCAACCACCGTAGTGGTAGACACTAATGTGATTCCAAATTACCGTATCTTTGATATATGTGACTCGCGCGGCTTACAGTAGCTTACAGGATCTTCCAACAACACATTTGATTGGATACTCATATCAAACAGTCTTGGAGCCCCGCCCTGATGACGCTACTACCAATACCAACTGCGCAACCAACAATTCTTATAGAGCTAAACGCAAAAAGATAAAAGCAAAGGAACATCCTGAACACACACAAACTCCACACGAACTGGTGTATTATCTAGCCCGTTGGTGCGAACAAAAGCACACACGGGTACTCAGGATCCGAAAC